GGACAAGCTACACTCTTCCCAGGGAACTTTGCAAGCAACACCATCCTTCAGATACTGACATGCCTTCCTGGGAAGACATGGGAGTCCCCTATCTCCAGGTTAACCATCACTAACCAAAGCGGGGAGTCTGTGTGTCTGTGTGTGTGTATATATATGAATATGTCACTTTTTTTTTTTTTGAGGCACAAGGCAAATCAAGAAGCGCTCTATCAGTGACCTTACCTAGGAACATATGAAAGTGCTTAGGTCACTTCCGCATTCCGAATTCAAATACCCAGCCAGCATGTACTGAGTACTAGAGTGGACCAGACACTATTACAAGTACTGAGGTATGTAAAAGTGAAAATATGAGTTGTCTAATGGGGTTAGAGATTCAGATTGCAAGATGAAATATTTATGGAAGTCTGTTTTGCACTAAGATTATACTGAACACTCTTGAGCCAGGTACTTAAAAATGGTTACGATAATAAATTTTAAATTGTGGGTTTTTTATAATAAGAAAAACTGAAGATAGGGTACCTGCCTGGGGGTGGGGGAGAGGGTTTCACTTAAGCTTAAGAGACTCATCTCAAGGCATTTAGGCCAATAATGATTTCCTCAAGTAGTAAACGCCATTTGGGTGTTTCCCAGCTCCTATAACTGCCATTCTTTGAGAACCTCCCCAACGGGGAGGTCTAACCTGATGGCCAATGGACTTGCAACTTGACCTTGACCCCTGGTCACCATCTGGGTAGACAACTGAGCTAAACTGTACTAATTTCTGAAACTTAAACATAGAGATTAGAATGCAGTTGGCTAAAGCTGTTACCTTAGTAGCGGTGCCAATAAACCACAGCTACTGAGGTCCCAGAGCCAGCTTCCTGCCCTTTCCAAAGCCCGCTTGGCTAGTTTCATTTCTGATTCTGAAAGTTACCACAGAGTCCTTGCAGTATCCCCCCTACTTAATACATCCCCCTACTTACCAAAGTGAGCCATAATCATTCGCTTTGTTCTACAAAATAACTTCAATTAAAACCCAAACCAAAGTGCTTCTTCTGGGAAATGGGTTGTCAATGAGCGAAGACTTGCTGATAATAGGAGAATGAGTCTTCTGTCAGGAAGAAACAAACATAGAAAGCTAATTGGTTAGTTTATAAGTTAACATAGTTACAGGCCCTGGTTATTTTCCTACTGTATGTAATGGGGGGCGCCGGTGGAGAATGGGTTCTGTGTGAAACACAAGCTAGGCAGGGTCCCACTCATATTCCCTGTCTTGTTATTCAGTTGCAAAACCTCACTGGTCTGAGGAAACTCAAGAAGTTGCTGCCCCAAGCTGTGGCTGCAAGAGAGGGGAAAACGTGTGTATATAGGAAGAGAGAAGGAAGAAACCCAGGAAGCTCCCTTTAGGTAAAAGATCCAACTGGGCCCTCCCTGGTGGCGAAGCGGGTTAAAGCACTGTACTGAGAAGCTAAAGCCACTTCCGCATGAGTTCGATTCCCGCCTGCCCCGGAGGTGACCACATGGCGTGGCAGACCTCTCCTGACCCGCCCGCTGCTCCCCTCAGCAGTGTTCTTTGATCATCTGCCTGTTCTGCTCCCCACACTGTCTCTGGTGAATCCTATCACCCTCCACATCTCTGGCCTGTACCCCAGTTCTGTATGAATAAATAAATAAATCTTTAAAAAAAAAAAAAGATCCAACTGATCCAGATTCCTCCACAATTTCTAGAAAAGATTGCCCCTCCCACCCCAAGGATCCAAGATTACTGCTTGGGGAGACTGACAAGTGGACAAGGGAGCGGCCTAAATGCCTGCGGTAAAGGGCTGCGTCCCGGCTGAGGGCATGGCGCCTTGTCTGCCCGCAGGCCACTTCTACCCGCGCCAGGCACGGAGCCACCCTTAAGAAAGGCTTCTTGAATTGTGGGTGCGAGGCCCGAGAGCGAGAGCCGGCGTGCGGCGGCGCCAGTAGACTCTGAGACTTCTGAAAAAGTAGGGATTTGGGACCTAGAGGGAGGGACCCCGCGTGGTGCCTGGAAAACCTCTCCCATTTCCGGGCAGGAAGTCAAAGGGCAGGCGTTGGGGTGCTCGTGGGCTTAGCAACTGGAAAGGGCAGGGGGCTGTTAGCGGATTTAGCGGGCCAGGACCGAAGCCACCCAGGAAGCGAATCTGAACCAGGTTCCAAGCTCTGGGGGCAAAGGTGGGTAGAAAGACAGCGAGTAAACTACAAGCTGGCTTGCTGCGCGTTAAGCCGTTACCTGGGAAACGGGAAAGAGGCGGGGCCATTTATCTTTGACTGACAGGGACCGCAGGACCGAATTTTGCTTTTGATTGGCTGGTATCTATATAGAGGCGTGACTTACCTATGATTGACAAGACTTCCGCTCCGGGCTGATTTGTGACTGACACGTTTGACAGCGAGGAAATAGAGCTTGGCTCTGACTTGGAAAGCTCCGGATCCGGCGGGACGAAGCTAGTCTGTCAAGAGCCTATGGGGTTGGAGCTGAAGCTCTTTCTAGCCACCAGACCTTAAGCTGCCGGCCTTATTAACCCTAGTGACTGCACTGAAAAGGCAACATGTACCCATTAGCAGGCTGCCTATGGTCAGGCTAAGCCAGGGCTTCAAACAAAAGCCACTTTATCCTTAAAAGGTGGAGATGGGAGGTGAAAGTGGAGATGGGGGGTGGGGTGGCTCATCTTTCTAAGGAATGGTCACAGTGAGGGCTCTGGAAAAGATGAGGCCAGGTCAGGGGAAGAAGGGGGAGTGGGGGGGTGGGGAGGGGGGAAGAAAGGCACTGACAAAGGGTGAAGACTTCCAGAGATCATCTCTGGAGTCTGAGCCCTACTAGGAAGAGGTAGGCCCACTAAAGGAAGGGCCAGATTACTTTCCAGTAAGGAAAATGCTACTTCTGCCCAATGCTGACTCCCAAGGAAAATTCCAAGTATGTGGAGAGAGTTTGGAAAATGTACCTGGCTGGGATTTGCCCTAGGGAATCTATGAAGTTAGCCTAAAGCTGTATTTAATTTATTTATTTATTTTTGCTCTGAGAAGCTGGCATGGAATTAGGAAGGAAAAAATGGCAGCAAAGTTTTCCCTCTTAACTGCCCCACTGGCACCCTGGTCCATCTTCTCTGCCATAGTTTAGTGTTATCTGCAGACCACAGATAATCCTGTTACAAAACATTCTCAATGATCCCATACCTCACTTGCTAAGTGGGTTTATCTTACACAGATTTTCCAGAAAAGTGCAAGGCCTCTTACCAAGGTCAAAGCTGTCACTGCACCACCCTTCCTGGTGGTGCAAGGGGTTAAGTCACAACACTTTGAAGCTAGCCACAGCCTCTGCAGCAGGAGTTAGATTCGGGCCAGGGAGGTGACCCACATGGTATAGCAGACCTCTCCTGTCTCACCCTCTGCCCCCTAAGCAGGGTATTTCAGTCAATCCTGTTCTGTTCCCCACTCTGTGGTGAATCCTCTCATGGCCCCTGCACCTCTGGCCTGTGCCCAGTTTTGGATACATAATTTTTTTTTTTTTAAATAAAAGCTGTCACTGCAGAAAGAGGCTTCAGGAGTTGACCCAGGACCCCAGTGGACTTAGTGGGAACTGGTCCAGATTGACAGAAGATGGAACCGAAACTGGTAATCTAAAATGTCATTCTCTGTTTCATCAAGAATGGGAACTTTACTTGTCCTCCATCTATGAGCCTGGAAACTCCTCAATGACTTTAGTAAAAGGTCTTTGTACACTGTGGGCCTGTCACTTTTGCTGGGCTCTAAACCAGCTGGGTCCCAGAAGATGCCTTGGAATGTCTGAGAGACTAGGAAAATGACCTCAAACTTGGTGGGAGATTGGCAGGTAAGTCTCGGCTTGACTCCTGCTTCCTCGCCTCCTGGTTGTATCTGTGGGCAGATTTCCTAAGCCTCCCAGATGGCTGTGAAAATCAAAAGCAAAGATACACTTAGAGGATTTGGCTTCACTAAGCCTGGCACCACAGAGTAGGACTCACTCAAATGAACACTCACTGCCCACCCAAGTAAGCTTCTAATTTGTGAACCAGCCCATGCCAAGGTAGCATGTTCACAAGGCTGCTGCGAAACTATCCAGCCCTAAATATGTCTCCCTAACACCTACAGTGAGAGTTTGGGGCTGAGAAAAGGGAGATGGGAGGTGTTTCCCCACAGAGAGTAGGGAATGGATTGTAGTATAGATCATTTGTTTATTCTTTTGTCTCAGCATAAGAGAGGCCACTATAAAATGTTTAATAGTAGGTCTCACCAGCTATACATAAGCATGAACTTTTGGTCTCATTTTCCACCAGAAAATAAAAGGGGTTCCATAACTAGGGAAGGAATCATTCGTAGGTAGATATAGGCCCTCAGATGGGTGTTGGGTGCTAACTGGTTAGTGGTTCCTGCCAGGCTTGTTCCGTGTTCTGTCAGTGGGGGCATCAAGGGGTATGGAGTGTGTGCTGGTCACTGATGAGAGAGCAGACCTTCACCCTCTAGTCCTCCTCTCTTCAGAGGTTTCCTTTGGGACAAAAATCTACCTTCCCTACACCCCACCCAATGCCAAATGCTTGAAGGGAACCATGAAGTCAAGAGCCTGAATTGGTATGTAGATGTGTGATCTATTTAAGCAATGAAAAAGGAAATGAAAAGGATTGACATATGCAGAAGTCCTGCTAATCTGGTCTCTGCTCCCACCTGGGTACCAGCTTCCTTCAGCAGTGTAGACAGCACTTCGTGGGGCCAGGAATGTACACCATTGTAAAATGTAGAAAGTTTTATAACCACTGCCACCACCACCAACAAAATGAAATGAAGCCAAGACTCCACTGGCTTGAGGGAATACAAGGTGCAGGCATCTAGATCCCCTCTACTTTTCTTTCTCAGGAACGAGTGCACTGATTTTTCTAGCCTCAGAGCGCCCTCTGCTGGCACAGAGGCTCCCTAAAGAAGAAGAGAAAAGAAGGGAAAGCCAGAGACTGAACGCCCTTCCTAGGCACGCAGGAAGAGAAATCGAGTGAGGGTAAGAAGTACACAGGTTTTCAGTTTATTGAGTAACAACTGTATCAGTGCTTTTATCACTGGTGGCAGATGGTTGGCAGGAGTGTTCTCATAGGGTCCCATGTGGACCTTCAGCTAGCCCATTCCCTGCTTCAGTCAAAGGTCATGGTGCTGGAACTAAGGTCAGCTCAGCACTGACCTTTGCCACCACATGTGCCATCCCTAAGCCCCCTTCTGTGTGGACCAGTCACTGATGCCTGGACCTTGTGGGGGTGAAGGGGAGTAGCAAGAGAGCCAAACCTCAAGAAAGGAGCTCAGGCGGGAGTATTGCTGAGTGTCTGACATGGATCAACAGAACCCAAAATTCCGTCTTACCATTTTATAGTTGGGACCTAGTTGCTCTTGAAGTTGTCCTTGTTACACCAACCTGATACCTGTGGCGCTTAAGCACCATTCCCACAGCTGTGTCCCTGCTAGAGGGTAGTGGGAGCCTGAAAGGGGAATGCTTGTTCTGCCTTCATGGCTTTTTGGCTGGGGAGGGGTTTGGAGTGTAGGTTTAGATTTGAAGTTCTGATGTCAGAGCAGACCAAGACCCCACAGGATTGGGCCTGGAGGTGCCCGCTGTGGGGTGGGGTGGGAAGAGGGCCAGAGTGGTACAGGAAGCTGACCCTCATTTGTTCTAGTAAAAGGATCTATTCCAGAATGGGGGATGGCACTGCGACCCCTCAGTGTCCCTGTCTCCCTCATCTAGTCGTGACTTCCCCTGCCAGCCCAGTTCTGAGTCAGCTTTGGGAACCAAGAATCAGAAATCTGAAGAATTCAGCCCAGCTTGGCCTACCAGTGTACCTCAGTCTTTGCTGAAGAGCCTGGGGCTCCTTCTGCATCCAGAAGGAAATGACTTAGCTGGTGGAAGGCGGCGGTCCTCTGGCCTGACGGGCTGGTGGGTGTCAGGGGGCCAAGAGGGGGTGCCAGATATCAGGACACCCCAGGACAGCACATCTGCCCCTGGCTTCCATGACAGCAGGTACATACACACATCTGTCACATATGTGTAAATGTAGACACACAAGAACAGGAGAAAGGCGCTGCCTTTCTTTGAATGCAGAAAAAAAGAAAAAGGCCTAGAGGGGCACTTCTCCCAGCTTAGTAACTGTTGGTCTCAGCGGCTGTTGTCCCCTGTGTCCCTGCCCTAGTACCCAGAGATGGGCAAGCGGTAGGGATGGCAGTAGCCCGAGGGGTGAGGCAGGGGGCGGGGCAGGCCTCCCTCAGAGCCCCTTGTTGTAGTAAACCACTTCGATGCAGGAGTTTCGCTCACAGATCTGATCTCTTAGCTCCGGCTCCAGCCTGCTCACGTGTATGGAGCTGCAACAGAAGAGCCCAGCGCTTGGTGTGTCCCCACCCACACCCCCCCCCCCCGCTCAGGGACCACCACCCCTCCTCCCAGGCTGAAGCGTGTCATCCTTCCACAGCCAGCAGGCCCAGCCTAAAGCCCCTCTGCCCCTCCCAAGATGAGCTGAGTGCCTGCCGGGCCTCCTCTGGGAACACACTGAAGGACCTTTAGGTCAGCGGCTTCCAGAAATGGGGAGCCCTGTCCAGAGCACACAGGGACAGCACTTACCTTCTCTGAGGGAACAGGGCACAGCACAGGGGGGTGGCAAATACCAGGCTGAGGGGAGAATATAGGAAAGGTGCGTGAAGGTCTGACCTCAGGGAGTTCCCTCTGCTGCACCCCCACCCGTTTGGAGACAGACTCTAGAGACAGGTGAAAGTCAGCACTGACATTAGGTTCTAACTGGAAAAAGAGCCCTAGGGCAGTGGACCAGAGCTCCCCGGCAGAGTGGCGGGAGTACCAGGAATAGATGTGCCTAATTCCTGAATGGTGCCAGGTGTACTTCCGTGGTTTCCTCTTACAGATGAATACTGGAGCCCCTTCAACTAGGTTCTTGACCTTCAAGGACAGGGGTACCCCTTATACACACAGGCAGTCCTGGTGTCAGAGACCACACCCCTCGCAGCTGAATGTGTGAATGAAGGTTGTGCAAAAACACCTAAAAGCAGCCCCTGCACCCGACAGCATGGTAGAAAGGGGCCCCTTTGCACACCTTAGCAAACTCCCTGCACTTACCATAAGCCCACCAGTCCCACCTGCAGGGGTGCCCCCAGCCAGGGGCGGCGCTGTGGGGAGACAGAGACAATGAAATGACATGTGTTCCCTACAGGTCCCCCACCCCTACCCCACGTCACCCACCAAGGCCCTATCCCATGAGCCCTGCCTCTGAGCCACTGATATGTGGCCCCTTCTTTTTCCCAAAGCCGTAACAGGGTGGGATCCTCCCGTCCAGATCCCTCACTTAACCAGGCTGTCCGCTGACCCCTCCCCTCAGACTTGGTGTCCACACCACTGCTTGCTTCTCGCTTCTCTACTTCCTCCAGGAGCTGCTTCTGCAGGAATCCTCAGCTAACCCTACATCACTTCCTCCCCACCCCAGGTACAGGATTCCGTCCTTTTCCAAACACCCCCTTCTCCGTTAGCTCCAGCCACACCATTCAGTTCCTCCCGGAAACACGAAGCACAGCTGGTTGGTGCTCTATAAGCACTGGCGAGTAAAAGTTCAACAAGTGAGCCAGGGCTGGCACGCTTGTGCCCTGCTTCCCTGCCTCGTCCGTGTATGTGGCACCTGTGTGTGCCTCACTGTTGTGATGGTGACCGCATGAGTGTGCCAGCAAACTCGTCCATCCCTGTGTGTGTCAGAGGCCTCTGGAGTGACACCAGTTTCCTTCAGGACAGAATCCACTTCCTTCCTACCCTCATCACTGCCTCCGCTCCCCCAGTGTCCCTGCACCCCAGTTCACTCCTGCAGAACTGATAAAGACAGCAGCACTGGGGTAGGGCAGCCAGGGGGCAAGTCTTAGACTCAGGCCAGGCTGAGAGAGGAGCAAGCAGTGGTGTGCGCTGGGACCTTGACCAGTCACTTCTGCCCCCAGCCACCACCACTTCCAAGGGTACCTTCAGGAAGGCTTTCTTCTCTAGAGTGTCCATGATCACGGGGGGAATGGCTGAGGGAAAAGCAGAACAGGGGAGGGAGGGAGGAGGGGAGTTGGTGGACACAGTCAGGACCCTCAGGAAGGGGATCCCCCTTCACAGCTCCTCCTACTTCCCCCAGACTCCTCAAAACCTCTGAAGAATGGCCGCCCCTCCTCACAGAGCCTCCCGTGACCCACCCGTCACCCCTGCCTCACCCATGGCAGGAATCGCCATGCAGATTCTTGATATCACCACCTGGAAGATTCCATGCTTGGCTGCAGTCACAGAGTATCCAAGTCGAGTGCCCTCCTCGTCAGTTACTGGGATACCCACCTGCAACTCCCTGGGAGAGGGGTAGGTGTCAGATCACGACCCTAAATCCCAACTGCTATGTTCCATCCCTAGGGTCCCCGCAGAAACCCTGGAGTCTAAAGCTGGTTCTGCAGCCCCAGGATGCCAGAACGAGACTGAGACTGGGCCCAGGGGTGGGTTCACGCTGGCTTCAGGCGCATCTGCCTGGTGGAGGGTGTGCGCATGCACCAGGAGCGAGGCCACTCACCGCTGCCTCATCAGGGGGAGGTTGATGCAGTTGGCGGCCGCCACGGCTGCGAAAGGCACAAACCTGCCCACCAGGGTGGGCAGGTGCTGGGGGAGCAAAGAGATCATTTAGTATTCCTGGACCATGACACTCAGGAGAAAGGGGGAACATCAGGTTGGGAGGAAGGGAGGTGGGAAAGGAGGTAAATGAAAGATGAATGGGGGCATCACCTTGGTAAGAGATTTGAGTCCCAGCGCCGTGGCCACAGCACCTGTGGTGGCGCTCACATAGGCTGTTCCCAGCTGCCTGTGGAGGACAGTGGGTGGTGAGCAGTCCAGCATGCGGCCTGTTCCTCCAGGCATGCTGCATCCTCAGCATGAGGCAGGGAGGATGGCCTCATGGGGAACCACCCCTCCCCCACTTTGCTGTAGATTTGTCTGGAAGCTCCAATCCCTCCCGTGAAGAGGGGTGGGTTTTCTGAAGCCACTCAAAAGGTAGGAATGGGGCATGCTCTCTGTGTGCAGGAGGGAGCGGTGGGGAGTGGGGAGAAGAGTCCAAGCCTGCAGCTCTTCTTGGGGATCAGGTCTCACCTCACAGTGATGGGAGCGTCACCACTGCGGTTGGAGTAGTTCACGATGGCGTTGAAGGACTGATTCACCCACTGCCAGAACACTACAGTGGGGGTCTTCCTGGGGAAACAAAGACACTTACTTCTACAAGCCTTCCTCAGCCACAGGACAGTAAGCCCCAAACTATTCCCCAAGCCTCAGGAGAGGCCCAGCTGATGGCCGTCGAAGGTGCCCTGGTGCCCCTGAATGATGCCCCCTCTTATACAAACACACCCACCATCTGAGTTCCTAGGAACAGAGAGATTCTAACACAAGCTCCCCACCCACTATTTCCTGCCCCCCTGACCCGAAGAGCAGACACTGGTCATCAAGCCATGCTCTAGCGCAGGCAGAATGACCCGGGGAGCAGGACGTGCCTGTAGAAGGTGAGCATGCAGCCAGTGATGGTCATGTTCATGGGCACCTGGGCTGACATGCGGCCGATAAGGACCAACTTCTCCCCCGTGTCTGGATGGAAGGCAGAGTCGTACACATACTTGGCCCTCCACAGCTGGTCCTCGGTGAGCCCTGGGGTCACCACACCAGCCCTGCAGGCAGGGAACAGATGGCAACTCTCAGGGCAGGTCCGCCCACACCCCTCAGCCTGCAGACCCAGCTCAGGGGAAGTATGGGCAGAGGGTCAGGAACTTTGGTCCCAATTTTAGAATAAAGGAGCTCCTTGTCTGTGTGGGGGCGGGGAGGGGGGAAAGAGTCAAATCTTCCCAGAAGTCTGGGCTCTTATTTCTATTTCTCTTCCACTGACACACAGGGGCACTCCCTTTATTTCTGCCCAAATGCTAGATCATAAGCAACAATGCTTACCAATGGGCTGAAAATGGCTGGACCTTGCAAGGATTTTTCTTCCCGGAGAGAAAAGGGATGCCCTCCTACCTCCTCAGGACTCAAATTCGAGCCTCACTGCCCTTGTGAAGGATGGCCCTGCAGACGGCTAGTTCTCTCTAGGTTTGTGAAGCACCAAACAGCCTCTGCCCATACCAGTTGATGCCACCTTCACAACCCAAACACCCTAAAGCCCCTAAAGCCCTTGGGGTTAAAGTTCTGTGCCCTGGTCATCCATGGTTCCAGCAGACAGGGCCAGGAAGTTGGGGCTTACAGAGTAGGCCAAGTTTGGGGAGGCAGGAGGAAAATATACTGTACTAATGACAGGGAGTGAGGCCTTGGAGCATGGGGTCAGATGGGGAAGGGGGTTACCTGTAGTTGTGCACAATCTTCCGGGCAGCTTCCAGCTGTGTCCCAGACAGCAGCAGATTTCGGGGGTCAGTCACAGTGAAAAAGTGTCGGGCTCTGCCCAGGAAAGTGCTTTGGTCCCAGCGAGGTTCCTGGATATTTATATCTAGGGGCAATTCACCCATTTTCTGCAGAGCAGGGATCAGGGTCAGCAGATTCCAAGAAGGGGCTCCAAGGCCTTCACTTGGGGAAACTCTGGTGGCTCTGTCCTGGTCCCTGGGCCTGTGGCCAAGCCCTTCTAGAGCTCAAGGTGACTCCAAATAGGTAGGCAAGGGTATGGGGAGGAGCTGTTTTCTAGGCAATGTCCAGCCCAGGGACCTGCAGCTCTGGAAGAGGGGGAGGGGAGAGCACCAGGAAAACAGATCTCCTTTCACTCTGGCCTGGTGCACATGCACCAGTGAGGATTCACATGTGTGTGGTTGATGCATGAGCAGTAACTAACCCTCATGCAGTTACTCTAGTGCTCTTTAGGCACAAGAAAATGCACATTACAGCAGTGTACGTCCACGTTCCTGTCAGGTTTAGGCTCCAGTCTGTCTGGAAAGGGAATAAGTCAGCCCACACCCAGTCCTTGACTGGAGGAGAGCCAGGGCTCATCCCTGCACTTATCCTTTCCAGATCCCAAACAGGAATCTGGTGCCAGCCCTGTGTCCGCCTCTGTGCACGGACAAGTGCCCTCTCTAGACACATCTTCCCAGACCCACCCGGAATGGCCCGAGGCTCTCCTGTTCCCCAGCTGGGCAGGGTTGGCACACACACCTGCCCACCTCTCCCCCAAGCCGCCTGTCACCAGAAAGGAGCAGGATTAAGTAGCTGGCCCCCTCCGCTGGGAAGAAAGGAAAGCCTGGAGCTGCCATCTGGCTGCAGTGGGCAAAAATCCTAGTGACTAATCTTCTCCAACCACACTTCCTCCCTTGCAAGCAGCCTCACCCTTCCTCTCTCTCTCTCTCACACACACACACACTTTTACACACTCACACACACACACTGATACCAAAAGCAAAGACACTACATTCAGGTCCCACACAGACCCACAAACAATGTGACACACCTTGCACACGCTGGCCCATAGAGACCGTTATGTGCACACACACGCATTCACCCCACGTCCTGGAATGCGAGACCACAGAGGGCCGCACCCCGGCACGCCCCCACCGTACCCTCGCGCGCAAGGCCCTCCTTAGGAGCCGGGGACCCAGAATTCCCGGGCTGAGAGCCGCGTCCTGGCGGCTCTCCCTCTCAGGCTCCTCAGGCCCGGGGAGGGCCCCCACTCCGCGGGACAGCGAGCACTCACGTCTCCCCGGGCGCCTGGGCTGGGGCTCCCGGCCTCTGCAACTGTCAGACCCGCCTTCCTCCCAGCGCCGCCCGCCGCCCAGGGCCCTTCACGCGCAGCGTCACGCGTGACGCGAACCAGCCGGGGGGCGGGGCCTCGCGGGGCGCGTCCGCCCGGCGTGCCCGGGGATTGGCAGAGCCTGGGGGCGGTGGGAGTTATTTGGGGCGACGCCCCCAGCCCGGGAGACGAGCGCCCTAGGCTGCCTCCCGGAGCCAATCCGAACTCGGGCGTCCGTGGTGGCCCCATCCCGGGTCAGAGAGGAGGGAGGAGGCGCAGTTGCCGCGCCCTGTGCTTACAGTGCCCTGGGTGACCCCGGGAGGCACCCCGCCCCTACAGCTAGGGGTCTAGGTGCCCCGTGAAGGCTCACCGCGCCCTGGCAGGCGGGGTGAAGGACCCGTTTTCTGATGGTGCGCGGGAGGGGCTCGGGTTACCGCCTGGCTTGTTTACTTGGCTGCCTCGGCAATGGCCTCTGCCTGCTTGGCTCCCGGCTCCTACCACAGTCCCCGTTAAGCACCTTGACATTCACACCCCTTCACAGCCCCGATCCTCTCGTGCCTGTGCCTGTGCCGGTGCTTCGCCCCCCTACCTTCTCTCCCCCACAGGCCCCTCCATACTCCTCCATAACTCTAGCCCCACTAGGTCCCCCATCTCCTCGTACTCCCAGTCCTTACTCCCGCACCACAGACATTAACCTTGGCCCCTGGGGGGTGGAGTGGCAGAGACTCAAGGTACCTGTCGGCATCTAACAAGTGGCTGAGAAGAATTCTTCCTCCCCTGACACCCTGGAACCAGCTCCCCCGCCTGGGTCCTTTCCAGAACCGAGTGGCCAGAGAGACTCTCCGACACAAAAGGAGGGTGCCTGTGACTATGGCCACACTCTCCACACACATCCAAACGCAGTGGCCAGACAGGAAGAGCTCACCTCCCTCCCCACACCAAGGCGCCACTGCAGGTGCCTGGCCCCTCTGCCAGGTGACATTCTCTCGCTGAGGTCTCAAGATGACTGCGGGTGGGTGGCAATCCCATGACCCCGATAGCTGGGTTAGCCAGGAGAAGCCACGGTTCTGGGAACCCGGCCAGCTGAGACCCGAGCCCTAGAGTCGAGAAACGGGGTGTGGGGCAGAACTCTGATAGACCCAGCGGCCCGCAGCCCAGGTGACAAACGACTGTCCCAAGAGGTGGCGGAGGGGGTGACAGGCAGCCGTCCTAGCCAACCGGAACCCGCGGCTGCGCGGGCCAGCCCTATTCCTGCAGCCTCGGCGGATCGGGGCGGGGCTCCCCAGTCTGCTGCAGTCTCTCGCGCCCGCGGGCAGGCAAGGCCGGCTGCTGTACACGCTAGCAGGTGAGGGGGGCCGAACCGGAGATGGGGCAAGGGGAGGCGAGGAGGATCGAGCAGGCAATGCGGCGCTGCGCTGCGTTTTGGATGGCATAGTTGCTCCGCGTAAAACCTTGACCTGGGTTTTGCAAGGGATGTTGTAGATCTCCATCCTGGAGGTCCTGCCCCCAAATCTGGGAGAGGTTCGCACGACCCTTTAGACAGAGAGGACAGGAAGACGACTGCAACCCGCAGCGTGGGGATCTGTTGGGGACCCGTTCATCCCTGGGCTCTTAGCTTGCAACTGTCCAGGTTCTGAAGCTCTGACCTGGAGGCCAAGTGAAGGAGCGGAAGGGGTGGTTGGTTCCCTACCCACTTACACAGGACAGGTGGTGCAGTGAATTGTCCCAACCCCAATTTCTGTCACACTGCTTGAAGCCCCAGGGCCGGCAATCATCCCTTCTCCACTCTCTGGACCTCTACTGAAAACTGAAGACCAGAGCAGATGACTCAGCTGAGCGCCCGAATGAGAGGGGAAAGAGAGTGCCCATCCCTTGAGCAAATAGCCCCAGAAATCCATGATGGTGGCTCACCTGGACAGCTCCTTGACCGGGATGGGAGAAATGAAATGCCTAAGGCATGGGAGGCTGAATCTCAAAGCAGAGGGAAGAGTGGAAATTCTGGGGGAGAGCAGGCGCTGCCTTGACACCCCTCCCCCAAACTAGCTCTCCCTGCACAGGCCTGGAACACACACTCCTGAGAGGCAGCAAGGTGGGAGACGCCAGGTCCCTGAGACCCCCCAATCCTGTGGAGAAGCCCATGGAGGCCAGAGCTCGCGACACCCTCCACTGGAGGGCTAGCAGGTTCCTTCTGGACCCGTAGGGCACTGTCCCAGTTCAGCCACCATGACGCAGGGCTTCACGGTGGGCTTCGACCCTCTGGGCAGGGGGGACCTAAGCTCCAGCTCTCTGAGCTCCCTCTCCTCCCGAGGCCACCTGGGCAGCGACTCGGGCTCCGCAACGCGATACCTGCTGAGGAAGCAGCAGCGGCTGCTGAATGGGCCCCCCCGCGGAATTCGAGCTTCATCTCCCATGGGCCGAGTCATCCTCATCAACTCCCCCATTGAAGGTGGGGGCCTGGGAGCTGAGGGTGGGGGTAGAGGACTGCAGATACTAAGTGGCAGGAGGCAGAGCCTAGTTGGGTGGGGGAACCCCAGAGAGGGGAGACATAGGGATATGGGGGACCCTCTGGAAATCCATTCACCCTCCCTCATCTACCCTTTCACCCTTCCAGGACAATCCTTTAGAGCTCCAGGGGCATGGTGGCAGGGAAGGGGTGAGTGAGTGTGTGTGTGTGTGAGTGTGTGTGTGTGTGTG